TTCCAACAGAAGGTGAGATATACACAATAAAAGAATTGGAATCAGAATATGGTCAGGTTACTAAAAAAGAAATTGTGAAAGATGCTGATGCAGAGTTAAAAGAACTGATCAGAGAAGCAGAAGCAGGAGGGCTTACTCTTCAGGAGGCCTTAAATTGTGAGGCTTTAACAGATGTAGAAGACTTAGATGATGATGAGCCAGGAAAACCAAAACCTAAAATAGCACCATCAAAGAAGGTTCAAAAAGATGAAACTGCTACAGATGAGGAAAGTGTTGATGAATCAGACATTGAAGAAGAAATAAGGAAGCCACCAAAACGAACTAGGCATAGGGGCAAGAGACTGCCTCTTGTTCCCCAAGTGTCCGAAGTTCGTTTTGTAGAGACAGATCAAGGTCCCTTAAGTATCATCATTACACCAGATAACCTTGATAACAACCCAGATCAGGTGGTGAAAGATAAGGTAACAGGTGTTGTTTTCCTGGAATCAGAAGAGAAAGAGGAAGCAACCACTGATGTTGAAGAGCTGCAGTCATCAGATGATGAAGGGCAAAAACGGAGAGCTAGCATTCTTAATGCACCTCAACTGACAACTGAACCTGCAACTGACACTGAAGATTTTGATGTCGATGCTGTAGAAGTAGACAGACCCCTGAGTCCCCTGCCTCCAGATCTGAATTACAATGTTCTATCAAGCCCAAAACGTGAGATTATCCACATCAAGGAGGATAAATATGGTGTTCCTCAAGTTACTATTAGGAAGCTTCAAAAAGATGAACTTTTAGTATCAGATGTGGAGGACATGGCTATGACAGACACAGAAGATATTGAGGTGTCTGATGCAGAGGCACTAAGGCTAGTTGGAGCTACAACTGATAGTACAGCAGAGTTTGAGCTCCCTGACACTGGAAAGATAGAAGTGTCATCAACAATGAAGCAAAAGAATCAAGCCTTGCATGTAGATGCAGATGAGGAAGGAGGCAGCACTGATGTTGAAGAGTTGCAAATGACAAAAAAAATCCAAACGCAAGGGTAAGAGCCGGGCAAGATTAGAACCTAAAGGCCAGGGGGAAGACAGTCACACTGATGTTGAACTTCTAAGTGACCAAGATGACAGGAGTCTTACAGTTCGCACAGAAAGTCCAAGAGCTCATACTGACACAGAGGACTTTGTTACATCAGAAACAGAAGATTTAGGTGTACCAGAAAGAGATGATGCTCCTACACCAGATGTTATTAAAAATGCTGCCATAAAGAAGGTCATCATTCTAAAAGAGGGACCTCATGGTGTAACTCAGACAGAAGAAGCAAGTGTAGTGCAAACACATGGGCTTCGGGTAGAAGATGAGCCAGAAGGGGTTACTGATATTGAAGATATGGAAGCATCTGGAGCAGAGGATGATGACATCCCAGAACACCCTGGAGTGGAGTTGCCAGAACAAGAGCATTCAAGTGTGGACATATCTGAGAAGACAAGTATTCCAAAGGATAAGAACGAGGCAAAACATATAAAAGATAACCTGCTTCTCCCTGAAGATAACTACAATAATCTCACTGATGTAGAGTCCCTTGATGGAGGGGAAGGTAACAGGTGTGCATCTAACACCAGTTTATTGTCCGGTCAGCAACTAACCTACGCTGTAGAAAGCTGTATTGTAGAAGAGCTTCCTTATTCCTGTATACCTTTGACTGACCCAACAATCTCTGCACATGCAGGGTTATCCTTAGAAAATGACCCTTTTTGTTCAGAGTTGACCAACCCATTAGTTGTAGAGGCTGAGCTAGAGCAAGTTTACTACCATGCGCCCCAAGAGGAACCGCACCAAAGTGAAGTTGAATTGGCAGCAAGTGATGGCTGTGTTGTCAGGAAGAGGCAGGTGGTGGCATCTATGTGTCAGGCTAGAGAAATTCGTAGATTCTGGTCACAAGATCGCAACTCCCCTCTTCAGCAGTCAGAGCTTAGTGAATTTGCATCTCCGTCTATTCATAAAAAAGGTTTTAAGACAATATTGTATCTAGAGCAGCCAAATCTTTTAGACACAATCAGCATCAGTGACACCTTGTGTGATTCAAGCTACTTCAAGAATGAAAGGCTCATGGATTTTGATTCCTCAAGTATAGAGTCTTTTGATGATCACTTTAGTTATATAGACTCAGACATTGTCACTGTTGTTGATCGTTTCAATCAGGAAAGGGGTAGTAGTTTTGATGATCTTCCAAGTCCACATCTGAGCAGTATTGGAAGCTCAGGGGTCATTGACTCCCTTTGCTCTGGGAGGTCTTTTAATTCGGATACTCACTTCTTTGATTCTCCTTGTTTGAGTCCTCAGCCTGATGGTGTTTCTGGTCGCATCAGTAGCCAAGACAGAAGGTTGATACATGAATCATGTACTGGATCAAGCTCACCTGTTTATACATCCAGTCCAGAAATGAGACGCCAGCATGAAGCTAGGATGTTGAATATTCATGCTTCAAATAGGGATTATGGTGAAGCTCCCTTTGATTACCATTCAGATGAAAATGTCGGAAATAAGAATTTGGCAGAGAACTACAGCCAACTAGGTAGTAAAAAGTCACCTGCAGATCAGGCTCCATTAGAGCACATGTCATCTGCTGGTTTTCTTGGTGGAGAAATGATAGATGAGAGTGAATATGTAGATAATTCCACTCTTTCACAACCAATTACTGTTTCAGAAATTAGGAAAGGTCCTGCAGTAGAATGTCATGAAGGATTCACAACTGAGTGTATTGGGGGATATGCCAACAAGCATTATAATGTGTCAGCAAAAGAGTCCATTGAAGAATGCATCCTTTCTGATAATTCAGGTATTTCTTCAGAACGTGTAAAAGGTTATGCTTCAGAATATGTTGAAGCATCTAGAGCAGAATGTGTAGAGGAGCTGTCATCAGATTACGAAAAGATACCTGCTACATCCTGTATAAAAACTTCTCCAACTGGTTATATACAAAGGTCCATTACAGAGTGGGTTGTGGCACACAACAATGGGAAGTTTAAACATTCAGGTACTGTTGAAGAGCCCCAAGTGATTCATAGAACAGCATTTTCTGCCAGAGAAGCTGAACTGAGAGCAGCCTCAGATCCAATTAAATCATCCGTTCCAAGTCATACAGATCACAGACCAGTTTATATTGCCAAGTATCAAAGTCCTCAAAAGAGGGATTCTATCACAAGAAGGGTAATGCAAGGTCGTCACTCACCTCTGCTGCAGTCAAGGGAAGTGACTGATCAGAAATTAAGTTCATCATTTGAAGACTCAGGTATTCACATGCATCAAGCATCTGGAAGTTTTACAGCATCTGTAGATACTGAAGATGAAAGATTATTGAGTGTAGGCGATGACAGTGACCATGTAAGCATTGCCGACAGTGTGTTAGGGCTTGAAGAACTAAATTACCAAGATGCAGATGATCAGGGTACTCATAAAAAATCATTCTCTAAGCTCATGATGCCTCCTAGTTCCCAACACCAGAAATCAGGTTTAGGTTCAAGGTACTTGAAAACAGCTGATAATGATTACAGTCTGGTGACTGCATACCCAGCTACGGTGGTTCCTCCACAATTGTATTACACTCAGCCAGAATCAAGCAAACATGAAATGTCTCAAGTAGTAATAGGAATTAATAAAGTTCTGGGTAATGACTCTAGTAGCAGTGATGAAACAGTAAAGGATTATGGTGGTGTTAAAGGGCTAATTGACCAGTGGGAAATCATAGTCAAAGAAGAGAAGCGTAGGTCTCTGCCCGCATCACCAGCAGTAGGAAGGAGAATTTTGCCGCCTTTTGAGGGGAAGAAAAAACCTGGGTGGAGCAGTGAGACAGAGGGAAGCCATTTTTCTGACACAGAACAAATGAGGGTAAGTTCTGACATTGTAGGACATTCAGTCATAACTCACGATAAAACAGACGAGTTAGAAGGGGCAGTGGGTGGTAATGTAGTAGAGGAGGTAGCAAGTGTGGGGGATATAATCCAACAGTTTGAAGGAAGAGTTGGCCGATTGGACAAGAAAAGTGCTCACAAACAGAGGTTACAGAGAGGCTCACAGTCCCCAGCAAGCAGGAGTCCTTCACATCCTCGTCAAGTAGCAACTGTCAAACCCTTACGTGAATCACAGTTGCAGCAGCAGGATCGTAATGGCAGAGTACAAGAACAGCCTGCAGAGCCTCACAGCATTGCTCTAGCTTCTGGGTTTGTTCCTCGGGTAATGGAGTCTCTTTCAGTTACAAAATCCTCACCAGAGGCTTATGAAGAGGACCCCACCCATGCGAGTGTCCCGTACCCAGAAGGTGAATTCTGTCAGTTTCTTTTGTCTAAGATGGACCTTAGGTACAGCAGGGTTGTGGTTATAGTCATTATAGAAATGGGAGTGGTATACAGAAAAGGCTAATAGCGCTTCTGCAGAGAAGGAAACCAGCAGTATAGAGATTCAGAGAAACCATTATCTTTATATCTCTTTTTTAAACAAACAGTGGCTGGATTATCACCGGTTTGGAAATATCAACACTTTATATAAGTTGCAATGAGGATAGTTTCTGACCATACATTATCCTCAGTTGCTGGGATGCAAGTTGCAACTTTGTAACAGACACACTATATATCATCCAAATAATATTTGTATTACCTCTACCTCGCCAGATTCATAGGTTAGTTGTGCTTATTTGCTTTCTGTGTGTTTATAGGTGTTACACTAGTTGTAATTCTGTGTCATTAGGTACCATTGGTACTTGATGTATTTTTAGTGTGTGTATGTGTGTGAACTGTAGCCAATTTGATAGTCAAATTCTGTGCTTATTTATTAATTTATTTACACTGTTCATTTAGAAAACCTCTCCAATATATAAAAGCTGCTCTTTGTAGAGTTACATGCATATTGGTGTGTTTTTAAGTAACACCAACTTTGTTCTCTTTCTTTCTCACTTTCTTTCTTTCTTTTTTTTCTTTTTTACTTCATACACATTTTCTCTCTTCCCTCACCTCTGTCAGCTCCTAGTATGTTTGGTAAACGCCCAGGAATAGAGTCCTTCTTCTACAAAGGTTTTTTCCTTCCACAAGGTAAAGAGGTTTGGAATCATGAAAGCTTAGAAAATTGGAGTGCCTAGTTGTTATGAACTGCCATGTTTGTTGTTCAAATTAGTTCTTTAATTGTCTCATGGATGTGCAATAGTGGTCGCTGATGGGAAGAGCTATAAAAGCTTTCCGTTAGTTGACTTGTTTCGGTAGTTTTCCATTTGAATTAAGCATATTTCTTGACAAAAGTTGCTTTGTTTGGTGGCAGATAGAGCATGTCCTAGCTTTTCACAAGAATTGAGCAGAGACAATATGTAAGTCACCGTAAAAGAGGTAGCTGATAGAAATTCTAATATATTTAAGAGTGGAGTTGTCCCTAATAATGATATCACAAGGGAAAGTAAAAAAACAAAGTTTTTTAGTGCAAACCCTGTTTTTTGTATATGAATATAAGTTATAAATCTTCCAAGTGGCAGCTTATTTCTGAATATCAGACTTGCTATATATAAGTTCTATGTGGGACATTTTATTTTAGTCACTTTAGATCCAAACAAAAACTGAACACTAATACTTACATTTGAAGAATGTTCTCTTAAGGCCTCAGGCTGATAGTGGAATATCTGTCTAGTAATATTGTTGCTTTCTATATGTATGTTTATTTCCCTTTCTCTTGAGAATAATTGTGATTGTAGGGAAAATTAGATAACATAGCTTCTAAAGTTTACATATTGTCATTATAAGTGAATTACCAAGTTCAGATGTGGTGATATCATATACCTTGCTTTTCATTGTCTAGCTTGAGGATGGACCAACATGTTCTGGTCAGCACATGCCAGTACAATGTAGTAACAATTTTCATCATTTTCCATATATCATCCTAATTATTTACTCTCCTACACTAACTACCATTACCAGTTATTATTTATTATTTCATTTCTTTTTGAAAAATACATTTGCATTGATCTCTTCCAGTTCTTGTATCTACAATCTGTAAGCAGATAAAACCAAATAGTAGTATATACTTCTCTTAGTCCATACATATACATAAAAAGATAAAGAATAGATAATTTTTCTTTCTCATTTATCTTCATTTAGATTAAACTTACTGATGAAATGGTATGCTTTTGTTCACCAGGGACCCATGAGGCAACCCAGATTGCTGAGCATCAGACGACCACTGTCTCACAGGAACAAGGTAAATAGTCCCATCCTGTGATTTATATTTATGTAGCATTGGCATGTGGTCATGTCAGTGCCATGAGACACACCCTTGTCATATGCTTGTTCTTGTACACCAGATTTTTCACTAGTGTAATAAGCAAGATATAGATACCACAGACCACCACCACCTTCACAAATAGAGGTTCAGTCCATTGTTTTGTACCATTGCTGTAACTGCCCAGATCACTTGTCACCATAAAGGAAAAAAAATACACTTATTTTATTGTCACACTTCATCTTCCAACACCACTTCTCCCATTACCTGAACCTTCATGACTATGTTACTTCAGCCTGCATTGCCTCTCCCCTCGGTCCTTCCTGTCAGCCTGTCGCTGAAGGTTGGATTATCTCAGATTCTCTCGCTCATAGAAGCATCACTGATCAAATCCACCTCGGCAAAAGAATATTATAAGTATCTGCAGGCACTTGTAGCTGTAACACTGTGGCCAAGATATATCTATGAATGTCTGTTTGGACGAGTGTCTGTGTTTGAAGGATACATGTTTATACTTTTAGATTTTTAAGTGACATATTTGTGCATATGTTTGGTCTTAGGTATGTGTATATTTATGGGCAAAGTATCACCACAGATTTTTAACAAGAAAAATGAGTGTGTGTGTGTGTGTGTGTGTGTGTGTGTGTATGTGTGTGTATAGATATACATATACATATATACACATGTATATACATACATGTGTGTGTGTGTGTGTTTATATATATATATATATATATATATATATATATATATATATATATATATATATATATATATATATATATGTGTGTGTGTGTGTGTGTGTGTGTGTGTGTGTGTAATATATATATATATATATATATATATATAATATTATATATATATATATATATATATATATATATATATATATATATATATATACATGATATATATGTAATATATATTTGTGTGTGTGTGTGTGTATGTGTATATATATACATACATTTATTTATCATTTATATTAAAATATCATTGTTTTTTGTATACATATATATCTGCATGTATACATGTATTCAAACATACATCCATGCACATATGTACATAATGTACGTGCCTATACACAATTGCATATATGTGTGTGTGTGTTTGTATGTGTATGCACTAGAGTATGTATATGAAAACTGACAGACAAATGTTTAAGTGAGATATACAATATCTGAACATTCTTAGTGCTTTAAGAAATGTTATAGGTTAAGAATTCTTTAATGATGCATAGAACACAGGGAATGAAAATGTTATATCATATTTAAGTTTGAAAGGAATTTCTGTTTAAGCAAGATTTACAAGTGGGAAAAAGTGTATTGCATTTATTTACCAGTGGGTAAACATTTAAAGAAACACTTTATTTGGCCATTAATACTTTGATGACTAGGTACATCAGAGTATATATTTGTTTTGTATTAAAGAATTTTTCTTTTTTCTTTTTTTTTTTTCTTTCACATTCTCACTTTTTGAAGGTTTAAACCTTTCCTCTTTCATCATCATTAAATTGTGATGTACATGTAACAGGATGGTTTTCTAAGTATCGGTTTGCCTTTTATAGTATGTATTTTCTTTGTTAATATTTTGTTGTTTTTATCGTTTTCCTTTTTTTTGCAAACCCATTTTCTCATTCTGGTAGCACTAGAAAGTAGTCATAACCACCTATTCATTACTCAGAAGATCCACAAGGGGAGTTCCGGGTGTGTATAACGACCCATCTTTATTCCGACTTTCTCTTTCTGCGTAAAGCCAGTATCGCTCTGACAGACGAAGAAGAACCAAATGGCCTTTTGAATCCCCCTCCTTTTCTCCCTTGAAGAAGAAGAGGCAGTTGTCTGGATAATCAGTGGTTGACTTTGAATAGGACTTTAATGCTAGACCTATTTTCCTTCTAGCCTCCTCCGGACTCCCCACTCCGGGCACCAAGGCAGGCTCAGGTATCTAGATTTTCTCCTCTCATGCATGGGCCTCATTCACCCATCTCTATCTACCCTCCATCTCCCTCTTTCCATTTGTGAGCAGTATCATATGCTCTTGCCTCCTAACCCTTTATCTTGTCTCTTCAGTGTTATGTCTTCTTCCCTTGTGGTCATGTGGACCTGAAACCTTCCACCTCACCTGACCTTTCACCAACACCTGGTCCTCTTGTCCCTCTAGCTGTGTACTCTCCGTGGATGTCTTGTCACAGTCTCTTCAGCAGCAAGTTGAGCTGAGTTACTCTCACCACTGATTGCCTGTCGTTTGTTTGATTCTACTTTTAGTTACAACTCTTTGAAGTACTGGATATACAAAGAGAAAAGAAAGATTGTTACTATTCCTTGGTTCCAATTATGATTCAGTTGCCTTGGCATGGTGGCGTGGCATGTCCTGATCAGAAGGACATAAGAACGCCAAGCCGTAGCTCCCTCCGCTTGCTTACTAACTGTCGTATGGAGTCCTCACATGTAACCACACTACCCAGACTGCCCTATTCCATGTGTGGCGCTGCTAACATGCATGACTGCCGCTAATGGATGCTCAAGCTGCTCACCAACTTGGTTATCTCTCCCCCTAGCACACGGCAAGAGTAAGCTAACAGAGGCAGATCTGGCCGTGCTGGAAAGTATGGTGATAGCCCAGGAGGCAGAGGTGGAAGAAATGGCTTTCGCCCACGATCAAGCAGAAGCTCAAGCTAAGGCACAAGAAGAGCAGTTACGTAAGAAAGGACAACAGCAGAAACCAAAGGTTAAAGGTCAGAAGAAGCAGGATCAAGCAAAAGGTCAGTTACAACAAGGTAAAGTTGAAGAACAAGCACTGCTCGATAAAGCACAAGCTCAGATCCATCAAGAGAAAATCAAAGGCCAACTTAAAGACAAGAAAAGTGCACAACCAGAGGTCAAGAATGAGACACAATCAAAAGCAGGTCAAGTTCAACAAAGTCAAGAGGGTCAAAAACTTCCAAGTAATGTTGAAAGCCTGATTCAGCCAACACAAACACAGCAGGTTCAGCTAGGAGGCCTGGCACAATCAACACAAGGACAAGTTGAGAGCCTGATTCAGCCAACACAATTCCAAAGTCAGGCACAACAAGTCCAAGTAGAAAGCCTGATTCAGCCAACACAAGTCAAAGGTCAGGCCCAACAAGTCCAAGTAGAAAGCCTGATTCAGCCAACACAAGTCAAAGGTCAGGCTCAACAAGTCCAAGTAGGAAGCCTGATTCAGCCAACACAAGTCAAAGGTCAGGCTCAACAAGTCCAAGTAGGAAGCCTGATTCAGCCAACACAAGTCAAAGGTCAGGCAGAAATTCAATTCGAAAACCTGTCACAGCCACCATTAATGAAAAGCCAGGCCCAAAGTCAGGCAGAAACAAAAGATCAAATGCAGCAAGGTCAGGTAGAATACATCTTACAACAAACGTCAGGATTAGTTCAACAGCCTCAAACTGGAGAGGCAATACAAGGACAGGTTGGACTAACCCAGCAACTGAGAGTAAATGGCCACCAACAACAAATTCAGACACAAGTTCAGAGAGAAGGCCAGAGTCCACAAGATAAAGTACAAGCTCTGATACAGAGCCAAGGTCAAGTACAGACATTAAAACAGCAAGAGACACCAAGTAAACAGATACAACCTGAAACAACAACTAAGATTCAGCAGTCGACCACCAGAGTCGTGTCTCCAGGGAAAGGCCATGCCCCCACTTTGGCCTCTGCGGCTACACCCGCTGGCCAAACGAAACAACAGCAATTTGGTGACTTGACAAAACGTGTAGCAGATGTGGCCTCTACAATGGCCTCAACCCTGGAGAGCATAACAGCCGTAGCAGAAGGCCTGGAGGGTAGTCATCTGTCCAGCGATGAAGGAGAGGAACAACTGATGCTAATGAGGGATTCCCCTCGATGGGAAGATGAAGAAATTCAAGCTGAAGAAACAGATGAACCAAGAGCCATCAAGGCTGAAATCAAACTACTAGTTAAAACTACTGAAGTAGGAAAAGAGTCAATTGAGATAAGAAGCATTCGTGAGTTTGTAGAATCTGATGAAAAGAATCTGTCTGGATTTGGAGGTATTGTACCATCACCAGTTCCAGAGGCAGGGCGTGTAACTCCCCAGGGTGACCGGGTGTATACTCTACAAAGAGGCAGCCCCAGTGCACGTACCCCCAGCCCCAGGTTTGTTCGTCAGCAACAGTCATCCCCTGTGTCATCGTACATTCAACCTACGCACGACGAGTTTGATCTCATGGCTCAAGTGCGAGGTAAGGCAGGCTTTTAGCTTGCTGCTCTCTAGTACTTGTGCTGCTTCTTAGCGATCTTTTTATGTGTGACTTGCATATTTAACCAAACTAAAACTCTGAGGAATGTATTTGACAAACTAACCAGTAATAAATTCAAGAGGCGTGGCTACACACCATTAGCCTTGCTCTGATATATTGAAACGAAGGCTAAGACAAAAGTGAAAGGCTTGGGCCTGTTGATGATGCTTCTAATCTCCAGGCTTTACAGACCTTCTTCCCTCATGTGTTTCAGACGGTGTCCTTCATGGTGGTTGTCCTGAAGCACAAGGCATGGACTGGGAGGGGAAAAGTGTAGACAGCATGTATACTGAAACTGTGGTGCAGGCTAGAATCTCCATGCTCCCTGCGGTGGACACCAGCGAGGGTGTCGCCCCTACCTCCTCTCCTACCACTACCCTTCCCTGCGCCACTCCTCAACCCTCAACTTCCCCTCACACGGACTTGACCTTCCAAACCTACGACCTGACACAACGGCCTCCCTATTCCCACCTAAACCTGGAACCTTCCCATCTGCATGAATCTCATCTTGTCGAACCTCAGAGTTTCGACATATCTCCATCTTCTGTCACTAAATTATCTGATCCTCTCTTCTTAGAAAAAGGCTTTACAAGTGCTACTGAAGGTCTTTCCAAACTTGTAACCTCTCCCTCAGCTGCTTCTTTGCAGTCTGAAAGTGTTGCTCCATATACTGGAACTGATGACATGGCAGCTGCCAGTGTCACTTATAATACAAGTAGTGCTGTGTTGTCTATAGGTCCAGTTTCGCCCACTGAAGACTCCAGTGAGGACCACGCGGAGATTGATCGCACAAGTACTGAACTTTCTCCAGACAGTGTAAGGTTTGAGCAAGATATGTTAGAGACAAGGACCGAGGATGAGGCCCCAGATTTAGATGATGATATGATGGCAGGGTCTCCTGTGTTAGGACCAGAGTTAAGTGAAAGAGTATTTTCTGTGGAAGCCACAGAAGATACAGACATCACAACACCCATGGAAATGCGTGACTCACACACAGAGCGAGATGCTACTGCTTCAAACTTGGAATCTGTAGATGATAAAGAAGGCACTGAGGGAAAGTCAGATCTCAAAGACCAGTGCTGGGATACTGAAGATAATATCACATGTTTAGCCCAAGAAACAGCTGAAATTCACAGTAGAGTAATAAAACTCCAAGAAAAGGTTCAGGCTCAAGAAATTGACCGAACTACAGCCAAGTCAGAGGCCGAATTAATACTCAATACAGTAGCAGACATAAGAGAGGCTGTTAGTAATGGGAAAGGTGAATCAGATGAACAGAAGAGCAAAATGGCACAAGATATACTTGACAGTATATCATCTATATCAGATACCGTTGCTAAGATAATACAGAACCTCACTCCATCAGATGTAGAAACTTCATCTCTCTTAATGAAGGGAGAAACTGGAGTGACAAAGACTGAATCCACAGTAATAGAAGCCGGTTCACCTGAAGAAGGCAGCCCTTCTGACTCAAATATACGTGATCAAACCTTTTCTGATCTCTTGGATTCAGACGACATCAATCGCGAAAGCTTAGAGGATGAGTTTGAAAAGTTGGCTGCTGAGATGAGCCTCTCTCCAAAGGCAGAAGAGGCACTTGTACATAAACCAGAAGCCACCATGACAACTGTTCCTTCTGATGCCATAACTTACCCTGTCTCTTCTTCTATTATTTATCCCTCCAAAACTCCTGATGCCTTACAGGCCACACAACGGGAACCAGGTATGGAACTCGCTTGTGGTTCTTTTGTAGTCCATCACCCATCATACTGACAGGCTCTTATCCTAACACATCTTTTTAATGATAGGTTTTGTTGTACATATCCATTGTTTTCAGAATTCCTTCAAACCATTTGTCATGTTTGTTTTGAATGTTTCATAAATATATTTGTATATTTTATAAGCTGAAAAGATATGGGCATTTCATTTCACAGCTGAGGATGATACATCTAGACAACACGATGTCCAGTTAACAATGGTATCTGGTGTAACCCATCAAGCGGGTGGGGAAGCTAAGCTTGATGAACTTGAGGAGAAAGGTTGTTTTACATCTTCACCAAACAGAGTTTCTGCAACTCACTTAGCCAAATCAGTTGAATCTAAAAGTGATGAAAAAGATAGTGAGCTTAAACATTTCAATAAGCCTACGGATATTTCTGAAGCCGAAGGCATAATTGACACTTTCAACACTATTGGGGAGGCAAGTGTAGATGAGGCATCTGAAGATAGCATTGGGGATGTTGTTGTCCGTCGAGCCTCAAGTAGGAGTGGCCCACGCCCCACCACCTTCCCATTGTGCCTCCTGCAGCCAGAAGTTGTGGGCTCCTCTCCAGAAGCTCAGCAATATTTCCGGCAGCAGCAGGAGGTACTGGAGGAGATGGGACGCCAGGGTTCCTTACATATGGATGTAACTGACTTGAGAGCATTAACTTCACCAGAGAGTCTGGCTGGTGGTAATGAATTTGAGGATAACGAGGCAGAGGACTCGAGCCGGGAGACTAGAAGCAATCTCCGAAAGCTTGTCAAATCATCTTCAAGTTATGAAAACCTTTATGATGGTGCGGACCTACAGGCCGCCAGCAGTGAAGATACCCCAACCACTTCACAGCTGACAAGCTCCCTCGGAGATCCTTTCAGTACCAAGACACATCTCCCCCCAGAAATGTGTTCCAGTTTTGAGAACTTGTACATGAAGGCCAGAGAGGCTGATGAGAAACTTGTTCATGAGGCTAATTTGCTTGCTGGAGAAATCCTGGATGAGGCAGTGCAAGAGGCAGTACAGGAAGGTGTGGATTCTTCCACTTCTCTCAGCCCAGCTACTTTGCACGCCTCTTCAGGCACTCATTCTCAGCAAGTAAATGATGACTCTGAACTACAAGTCTGTCAGCATGAAGACACAATAAAATCTGGTACAGCAGGTATTTTGGTGATGTAGCAGCAGCCACTGCTTTTCCAAGGGCACAAATCTAGGCTGCTGTCTTTTCAGTTTGTGTGGTGTGATGCTAACCATTTTGAGAATCAGGTATTGCCTAGAGGTCTTTCACTAAAGGAGTGACTAATGATTTGTGTTTTATAGTTGTGTGAATATTAACATTAATTGATTTCTTTCAGATAACAAGTGACGGCATGTACTATGTTGTGTAGTAGCTTGTGTTGGGTCCAGGGATGCCATTTGCTCACGACATCGTTTTGTATTAGCTTTTATACAATGAGCATCTCAAGATGTGAGGACTAGAATCCGTCCTCTTTCTGCTTTTAACAAAATTCATAAATGTGTCCTGTCCTTTGGATTTATATGGCATTTGTTAGTGGCCTGGTATTGGTCAAATGTGGCCTATTAATGACATTGTAGTCAAAATACCAGGCTTTATAATCTGATAGTATGGGGGTCCAGTCAACACCATTTCCTCATCTATGAACATATTTCATGTTCAGTTTAGGTCGAAGTAGCCAGGCACAAACAAATGTAGGACAATTGGTAAGTAGTAGGTTTTTTGATTGTGTAGACTTATAATATGCACGTTGGACGAATGATGTGTAAGTGTGGAGGGTGGGTGGGTTCTGTTAAGGATCATGAGTTCCCACATACCTTGAATGAATGAGCCAGCCCAGTTTGGCAGCATGTGGTATGAGTGAGACCTGTGCCATAACAAGTGTGTGTGACGTTTACTAATAGTGTGCTACTAACTCTTGTTCTAGATGTGGGAGTGGTGTTTACAGAGCGTAAAGAGTATGGGGGCGGGGTGAAGCCATCTGCAGAGACGACAGGCGGACACTCGCACATATCACCTTCACCTGTTCCTCATCCTTCCCAATCCTCATCCCTTACCACAGACCAAAAGAAAACCCCAAGCACTAAACCAGTATCTCAGGAGGAGGGGCAGCGACCCCCCGATGAGAGTACTATTCCAAGTCGACCAACAAGACGGCATGAACGAACATTTTCTCAAGCAAGTAATATATACACGGGAGCCATTCCAACTGAGACCAAACAAGAAGGAAAGAAAGGAGATAAAGAAACTATTCCAGAAGAAGCAGATGGTGTTAGTGAAACCATTAAACCATACTCAGAAAGAAAACAGTTTTGGGAGAGTGTTACAGGCCAATCATTTGAAGCCAAAGGTACTCAGTTGATCAAGGCAGAAACTGAAAGTGACACTGACACAACAGGCACAGATGGCACTGTAGTGGAGCAACGGATCCCAGATAAGAAACCATCTGTAGGAGAAAGTTCAGATTCAGAAGCCGAATATTTAGCTCATAGGGAGAAGCCAGCCTTTTATGAAAATCAAGCATTCATAGGCACAGAGAAGATTGATGTTCCCAAGGAGGGTGATAGAGACGGAGCTGTAAGTCCATTTGAAGTTCGACGAAGGGCGGAAAGTCAAGACTTGCCCTCACCTGAAGATATAGCATTTAAGGATGTGTCTTCCAAGAGAGCACTCTTTGAAAAGGAAATCAAAAGACAGTCCATGGAGATTGAGGAAAGTCAGTCATGGAAACGGTCATCAAAAGAGTATGATGAGACAGTTGTCATTTCTGAGGAGTCAGCATCCAGCACACTTCAGAAGAAGGAAGAAAGGAAACAAACATTGGAGGAAACAGTGGAGAGTGAAAAGGATCTCTCTAAAATGAAGAAAGAAACTAGGGAGGATATTGTATCAAAAACAGATGTTGAGAAAGTCGAGAGTGAGCAGAAGAAGGATAAAGTTAGCAAGAAAGATGATGTATCTGAAATTACAGAATCCTCAAAGTTACTCAAAGAAAAAATGCAAGTGAAGGAGAAAAAATCGTTATCTGAAGTTAGTACTGCTGATAGCAGGGTAGTAACTCAGACTGATTTGTTATCAGAAAAGAAAGAAAAAGAAAGCACAGAGAAAGCAGGAAAAGTAAGCATGGTTGACAAGAAGGTGGTATCCCAAACAGATATTTCTAAAGAAAAA